GTCCTAACTGCAGTGGAGCTGTTGGGAATTCTGTCTTAATCCCAGCTAAAATTCATTTAACAATTAAGATTTTTTTTAATTTTTGGTTTTTTGTTTGTTTGTTTTTTGAGACAGGGTTTCCCTGTGGCTTTTGAGGCTGTTCTGGAACTAGTTCTTGTAGACCAGGCTGGTCTCAAACTCACAGAGATCCTCCTGCCTCTGCCTCCCGAGTGCTGGGATTAAAGGCGTGAGCCACCACTGCCCAGCCAGTTAAAATATTTTTATGAAGATAAAGTCAGCAATTTTTAAAAGCAGACATTCTAACTATATGATGTGAAGGCACGCTAGTTTTGTTCTTGTGTCCTGAGGGATGATGTTAGGGAATACTTAATGTCTCTGTGCCCTGTAATTCAACCATCATGTGTCACTAACAGCAGAAAATTATGTATGGAAAAACAATGCAATTCATAGCATACACTAGTCTCAAGTCTAAGACGAGGTGCTTTAGGCAGCATTCCTGTGGTGTAGCATGCATATATGGCATGCAGTGCCAAGTGTACGGATTGGGTATTCAGAACCAAGGCTGCAGTGAAGTCGGGTGGTTCAAAATGGATGTGCACTGCCAGAGACCTGGGGATCATTGCAAGTTTGATTTTGAGTTAATTTTTGACTTTGAATATTTAGAACTCTTGCACTGTTGTCAACTGTTTAAGAACTCCATACATTCTGTTACCCAACCCCAGAGTGGATTGCAACCCACAGTGAAAGAAGCCCATACTTAGCAGATAGTATTGAGGAGGCAGTAGGTCTTCTAGCAGCTATTTTCTCCAAACCTAAACATTCCTTCCTGGACTGAGGAGGGAAGCGCATAAAACCCAAGATGTAAACAATACTTGCAAGGCTCCAGGCTCCTGGAAGTTAAGAGATTCACTAAGCCTCTGTAGAAGGTCAAAATTAACATTAAAGACAGACGCTGAGGGAGGTTAGGATAAAATTACTCCAATGACCTAACAAGCTCAAAATAATGTCTCCACAAGGACCCTTTTCCCCCCAGGGATCAACAAAGCAAAGAAAAAGCAGTGGGACCCTAAAAATCTGGTTTGGGGACAGAGAAGATGGGTTCATCACAGCAGAAATTCTGTAATCCTGAGAGGGAAGCAGGCCGAGAAATTAGAGGGAGGCACAG